CTGCACCCTCGCGGGAAGCCGCTCAGTCTCTGGCCCAAAGCTAGGGGGGCCGTTGTAGAGGACAGTCCGGTTTTCTGCTACTCTTGTCATTTATTGATACGAAACCCGACGCCTGTAGGTCCTCTGTTTTCCTCTTTAAGACTGAAAAAAGAAGACATAAAGGCATTGGGTTTGGTGTCAGTTGCGGACAGAGGATAACTGTACTGTCTTCTATGATGGCCACCCACCCTAGGTTTGGGCCAGACTAAGCTGTCCTGTCTTGATGCGAAACCCGACACCTTTATGTCTCTTGAAGAGAAAAAGAGAGGGCATAAAGGCATCGGGTGTCTTATCCGTAGAGGGTAGACTAGCAGAAAACCGGACTGTCCTCTGTGATGGCCACCCTCAAAACCTCACCAGTTTTTAAGGCTCCCTGCCTGAATAATCCCACCCAGAACACTTGGCTTCAATGGGAAAAACCCACCGGTCAGAAGTGAAATATTCCCACAAGCATTTGCAGGGCTGAGGCCTATACATGGACCACCAAGGTGGTTTTCCAACTGACAAGTGAAAACCACAAACATGGCAGGGGGTAACCAAGGTAATGCATGGTTAACCTCCTGCTTTTGCTTCCAGTGGGACGATCTCAGATATACGCCGACTTTATGGAAGTGGGACACTCCTCCCTAGCTTGCTCCTCCAGCCATAGGGCTGAGGGCAAGCAAAACTCAAGAGCATCTGAACACTAAGCCTCCGGGCTTGAGTCTGCACGTAGGATGCCCGCCAAAGGATCTGGAAGCATTTGAAGCCCCAGGCAGGGGTGGATGATGCTTGGCCTTGAGTGACTCACAGACTTGGAATTGGTTTGGGTGGTTTGGCTTGAGACATGAAAAATTTTCCTTAAAAAAAAAAAAAAAATTTGAACCTTTCTGAGGGACTTTCTTGATGTCCACTACACAGGTTGGCCTGACCCTAAGCAACTTTCCAGGGGTCCTTCAGTTTGTCAAGATGCAGACAGGAACTCCAGGCTCAATATTTAAGTCTTGGAGGTGGGGAAATGAAGGAATAAATATTATAAAGACAACTGATTTCACTGTTAGTGTTTTTTTGCCTGGAGGTGAACATTTCCTTTGGCATTTACAGCCCAAACATCAGCATCCCACTCCTATTCTATGCCAGACACAAAACCTAAACAACGGTAAGCAAAACCAAGCAGCTGTTTACCTGGTCCAAGGGAAGTGAAAGGCAATACGTGAACAGCAGAATTTTAATTCTCCTGTTCTTTCCATTGTAATAATCCAAAGGATTAAGTTGCACAAAAGTAATATCCATTGGGTCCACCCATGCTGTGCTCAGCTCAAGTCCCAGCAAGAGCCAGACGGTCACAAGGTAACTTTATGCTCCCATTGTCCTTTCCCCAGTCCCCAGGCTTGCAGGGGCTGTTCTAATGTACGCTGGTTTGCAGAAGCTCTGTCCAGCTGGCTGGATGAATCTGGCCTGAGAAGGGTTAACATGCAGCCCTCGTGTTCCCACTGCTCCCATTGCTCTGGCTCTTGGGGCAACAGTCAGGGTTTCTGGCAGGGCACCCGCACAGGAGGTCTAGCAAGCTTGCTGCCCGCATGCCAGCACCAGTAGGAGAGCTCTAGCAGGAAAGCTAGAGCTCTTAAGCTGCTTGTGCAGCAGCAGCAGGGGAGCAGGGGAAGATAGATGGTTACAGCAAGGGGGCAGAGCGGAGGGGGCTTGCACCTCTCGTGCAGCAGCAGTGGAGGGGGGGTTGCCTGTGCAGTGGTGGCAGTGGGGAAGGGGGGAGATTGCTCATGCTGGTGGCAGCACAGGAGCTTGGACAGGGGGCTTGTGCTGCTCACATAGCAGTGGCAGTGGTGGGGGGGGTGAGTGCTAGCATGAAGGAGGGATGGGAACTCGTGGCAACAACAGTGGGGGCTGTACACAGCAGGGATCCTGCGGAGCCTGTGTGGCCATTGCAACCTACAGCTTGCATGGTCTGGTCCAGGGCCCCATGACTTGTGTGGCACTCAGCTGCTCTGCAGTTGAACAGCCCTGGTTTGCAACAACCCCTAGGAGCTGTTGCACAGCCTGGTCACCCCTACAAAACTATATCCACCCTCACATACTCATTGATGGGAGAAGCTTGAAG